TCAGACATTTATGCTTCCAAAGGGACTTCAGGATTGTTTCTTCAAGACCAAGAAATGCATTTTTAAAAATTTCAATGATGTGTTCTAGAATCCCATTAAACATACACGTCCAGCTGAGGAATGAAGTGCTTTTTAGATGAACAGAAACCGTTTCTGCCCCCCATTCATCACAGCATCAACTGAAGGCATCTGATGAGTAAACAACGGACGACAGATGACTTAAAGCTTGGACACTCTTCTTCTTTCTGTGCTCTCTCTGGCTTCCGCGCCACCTCGTTGCCTCCCGCTGCTCCCCAGGAACCGGCTCCTCAAACCGCCTGCCCTGTAGCACCTTTCTGGCTGCCCCTCCTTTCTCCCCAAACTAGACGGCACAACATCCCATCAGTCCTGAACCCTGCTCAGCAACCAACTAGTTCCATGATGAAACCGTGTGGTCCTAATCGTGTTCGCGCCTCATTTTACAGACAGGCTGAGGCAAAGTCTGTACATCCGGGAGAGACATCTTGAAGCTGGTGTCAACAGGCAGCCAGGGAGAGGGGGGCTGCATCGAGCCTCACCCAAGGCTGGACGGAACATCCCATAAGCCTGAAGATCACCCAGGCAAGCCCCTTTCCCTCGACTCCGTGGCTCGCCAAGTTAGCCATAGGGGGCTTTCTGGGCCCCGGATCACAAGAAGGGAGTATCTACGAAGGGGCTCGCTAAAACATATTAAATGCCATCATCAATGGTTCAGTTGTGACTTCTGTGGGTTTAGCTTGAGTCCTTTCCCCTCTGGCCCCTCTGATCGATGGTGGCGCTCGTGACAGACAAGTTTCTAGGTCTGCAAAGCTGAGAGTCAGACCTCTGACTGCAATGACCTCCCATCCTGCTGGGGGACAGGCAGGCTACATCCTTTCTTTTTTTTTTTTTTTTTTTTCAACGTTTATTTATTTTTGGGACAGAGAGAGACAGAGCATGAACGGGGGAGGGGCAGAGAGAGAGGGAGACACAGAATCGGAAACAGGCTCCAGGCTCTTAGCCATCAGCCCAGAGCCCGATGCGGGGCTCAAACTCACGGACCGCGAGATCGTGACCTGGCTGAAGTCAGACGCTTAACCGACTACACCACCCAGGTGCCCCTTTATCCTTTCTAATTATAATGGGTAGCCCGAGTTGTAATTACGAACGCGTTCCCGAAATGTAAGAAATACGTACAATAAAAGCCTGATTAAACAGCCTTAACAATAACATGCTATATATTCAGAGCTCAGAATATCACACCCCATAAGCCCTTTCTAGAAAAGGAGACTACAGGAATTGCTGGCTAAAAGTTGGGTGCTTTCGGTCATCTGACTTAGGCCATGGCCGATTCGACCAAGAATTTGCACCCTGGCCCGAGACAACCTGTCAGCTGGCCACAAGCACAGAAGAGCCTAAGGCCCAGAGTCCTAACTGAAACAACGTGGCCCCAAAAGGCTGCTCCCTTCTAGACGGCGTCAGACTCTCCTTGGGAGACAGAGAGGCTGCGAGGGCTCCAGGCAGAAGCAAAGGACTGGCCCACATCAGGCCTTACTAGAATCGGAAGCCGCGTCTGCCGCTTTCTGAAGGAGGCACAAGATGACCGTTATGGGAATCACTGGCTTTGCCGGTCACACCTTCTGGACTCCGATCCCAGCTCGGCCGCATCCTAGCTACTTGACCTTGGGTAAATCATTTCTCTGAGCCTCGGTTTCCTCTTCCATCAAATGGAGAGAATGACAGGCATGCGCTATATGACACAGAACTGTCGTGAGGAAGGACACGACGTGAACACGGAGGGAGGCCTGGCCAGGAAGAGCCCTCCGCGGAGGAGCACGACCGCGCCGACAGACTCGGTTGAGGGGACGGCCCGTGTGTCCTCGCCTCCTGG